CAAGAGAAGCATGAAGAGGTAAACAGGAAAGAGAAATCATAAGGGATGTATTAAGGTTGGACTGTTTACATTCCTACATGGAAAGATGATATTTGTAACTCATGAGACCTTTGTCAGTATTAGGGTAGTTGGAAGGCAAAATTATATGTTGAGATAGATTGATAGATAGAGGGCACAGGGTGAGTTGAAGATGAATGGGTGATATCTGGAGAATAAAATTAAGGGTGAGATAGGATTATACTGGGAGAAGGAGAAAGGGAAAGGTAGAATGGGGTAAATTATCTCACATAAAATAAACAAGAAAAGCCTTTTACAGTGGAGGGGAAGTGGAGGAAAGTGAGAGGGAATGTGTGAATCTATTTTCATTGGATTTGGCTTAAGGAGGGAATAACATACACACTCAATTGGGTATGGAAAGCCATCTTACCCTACAGGAAAATACGGGGGAAGGGGATAAGAGAACAGGGGGATGATAGAGGGAAGGGCAGATTGGGGGAGGGGGTAATCAGAAGCAAACACTTCTAAGGAAGGACAGGATCAAAAGAGAGAATAGAATAAATGGGGGGCAGGATAGGATGAAGGGAAATATAGTTAATTTTCCACAGCATGACTACTATGGAAGTGTTTTGCATGACTACACAAGTATAACCTGTATCGAGTTGCTTGCCTTCTCAATGACAATGGTTGGGGAAGCAGGAAGGGAGAAAATTTGGAACCCAAAGTTTTAGGAACAGATGTTAAAAATTGTTTTCACATGCAACTGGGAAATAAGATATATAAGCAATGAGGTATAGAAATCTATCCTGCCCTACAGGAAAATAGAAGAGGAAGGGGATAAGAGAAGGTGGGGGGGGTGGAGATAGAAGGGAGGACAGATTAGGGGAAAGGGTATTCAGAATGCATACTGTATTAGGGTTTGGGGAGGGACAAGATGGGGAGAAAATTTGGAACTCAAAATCTTGTGGAAGTGAATGGTGAAAACTAAAAATAAATAAATTAATGAATCTTAAAAAAAAAAAAAAAAGAAATAGAATTCAATAACCCACCCCTCAAGCCTTGGAGAACCCAAGAAATCAATCCCATAGCACCAGCATGACAATTCACTGAACTGGCAGTGCTGGTCCAGAGAACTGAGAAAACAGAAGGAGCAGGATATGATACCATGGTGGTGGTGATGGATCATTCCACTAAGCCCGAGGGCAAGAGCCTAGAATTTAGCCAGGGACAGTTCTGTCCCCCCAAAAGCACTTAGGGTAGATACATAGTCTGATGAATAATGAATTGCCCAGCATGGGAGGAGGCTGAGACACTTTGAGATCCAGGTCCCAGGGAAACCACCATCAGATGAAACCACCAGAATCAGAAAGTGAGCAATAAGGATGGAGGGAAGATTGAAATTACCAAAGGTCTCCAGAGGAAGAAAACTCAAAGACCTTGAACATAAGCAGACAAATCAACAGGGAAAACATTATAGAAGACAGAAATATGGCTTCCAGATCTAGTAAACAAATTCAAACACCTATAAATAAATATATATTTGGGGGAAAAAAAAAGGAAAACTTCTGTAGAATTTAAGGAGAACATGGAACCACAACATGCTCTTCCTGAGTCGTTTAAAAGAGAAACAAGAAAAATGAGCAGAATTTATGGTCGGGACAGCAAAAATGATGGGCAGAATAGAAAAACTAGAATCTTTAGCAGCAAGTCTCACCAAAGAAACAAAAGAGATAACAGACTAGGGATGCAAATTAATAGAAATGAAGGATAATCTAGAAAAAGAGAAACAAAAAATATAAAATTAAAAGAAAATATGCTCACGTGCTACACAAGCAAAACATATTAATCTCAAAGAGAAGATGTGTAGAGACAAAAGATCATAGTTCTCCAATGTGGGAAAAATTTAGAAGTTAGGCTTCCACAGCAGAACAAGGGCATTCCAAGATCTTGTGGATAGTCCCTCAACCAATCAGAAAGTGCCCCAAACATTCTGCAAACAACTAGTTCCTTAAGAAAGAACCCTGCCAAACCAGTTGCAATCCATCAGGGTCAAGGACTGAGCAAAGGCTTTTCTCCACTGTGCTTGCTTAATAAACTTATTGATTATTAACTGACACACCCCAAGGGCAGAGATAGCCACCATTTTTGAACATGGGACGCATGAATTGGGAGGGCTTAACATGAGGAGGAACATGGGATGGGCAGTTTAGGAAGAGTGTAATTCAGATGAGCTGGACCTCTCCTCGCCCTGATAGGAGGAGCAGGATCATAGTGACAGTATAAAAGCTGGCTCTCACTTCTGTACAGTGTGCCTCTCCCACCAGAGGGCACACCTGATTCTTGTAAGAATCGTAATAAATGATTCTTCTTTCACTCTGGACTTAGTTTAGGGATTAAGAGCAAGACTCCACTTGGCATTGCAACTGGGAAAGCAAAAGGCTGCGGCAGCTCGCCTGGGCTAACTTGTCAACCCTGCTGAGGGGGTACAAGGGGCTCTATTTCTAACACAATAGGACAAACAATTAACACCATAATGCAGGGAATAATACAAGAAAACTGCACAGAATTCCTGAACGTAGAAAATGAAATACCAATGGAAAGAATTCACAATTGCTTCCAGAAAAAACCCAAGGCTGCAAACTCTGAAGTACATAGTGGCTAAATTCATCAATTCAATTCAGAAAGAAGTTCTACAAACCATCAGGAGAAAGATCTCAAATACAAAGGAAAGGAAATTCAAATAACAAAATACTATTCTTCACCCATCTGAAAATGTAGGAGGGAATTGAATAATGTGTTCTAAAGAGCAATGAAGCAATGGGTGAAGTTGGGGGTAATCTGCCCTGTAAGTCTGAGCTTAATCATAAATTAAAAGAAAAAGATAGGCACTCAATAATAAAGAAATATTTGAAACATTCTTATAAAGAAAACCAGATCAGAAGAGATTATTTGCTTCTTGAATATCTGAGACAACAGAAATGCAGGAGGGGTGAATGAATATAACAACTAAGGACAACAACATTAATAGTGACAACAGTGACCAGTATGAGACTTATTTCCAAATGGACATGAAGAGATAAGGATGAAGGTGGAAATCAGGTGATGGTAACAGTGACAAAAGATGGGCCTCAGATATTAAAAATAACGTGGCAACAACCTATTTACAGGTGAATCAGTATTTTTTTTTTCTGGGACTATGTTACAAAATGGAAGGGTGCATGACAGTGGAGGGAGAGGAGCAGGGGGATAAAAAGGAGTGTGTAATGTACCTGGGTAATATTGAGGGCTAGTAATGGGGGGAAGATGACCCCCCTGTGGTCACTCTGTAAGAGAAGATCCTTTAGGGGAATGGGGGAAGAAGAAGGGAGGAGGACTGAAAAGTAGGGAGGGAGGAAGGAGCCTTTGCTTTGGCGATGTGATAGGGTTCCATTGACGAATGTTCCTATGGGTGAAAGAGATGTTTTATGAAGGAAAATGGGGACCCAGTGTGGTCTAGGAGATGTGGTACTTGAAAAGACCCCTTGTCTTACCTCAAGAGGGGGAGTTGGAACTCATGGGGGTAACTGGTACTTGGGAGAATCAGAGGGCATGGACCCAGGGAGAAAATTTTGAGGTAAAAGGGGAAAAGAAGGTAACCAGGGGGAGGGTATAGATTAGTAGTGGATTTCATAACCAGGGACTTGTGGTAGGGTGGGGAAAGGGCAGGGGGGAAAAGGGTGGGAAGATAGGCCCTATCATGGGGCACTGTCCTCTCTGTCACTTGTAGGAATTTTCAATGTTCAAGGAATGAGGAACAATGGAAAACGGGAATCCGTGGGGCAAACTCTACAAGGCAATGGCAGAAACTGCCAAGATAGGAGAGCCCAGAATGGATACCTTGGAAGATTTTATTCCATAAGGAATATAGAGAATAGAGAGAGACTAGATAATTATCATCAATCAGAGAATGAGAATCTAGAATAGATGGAAACAGAGGATGAATAATGAAATCTTTTCTGGAAAGGGAAACAAAAATATTAAAGACTAATGGATATGACTAGTTAAACAGGAAGAAGGAGAAATCTAATTGACTAACTGAGAAGAAAAAAAGGTGGGGGAAAATCAGATAACCAAGTTAAAATATGAAAAGAAAAAGGAACTACTAAGCAAAACCCCAAAGGGAAAGGGGTAACAAATAGGAGGGGGAATCAGGGTCTTTGAAAAAGTGCTACACTTTTATGCTAAAGACTCCTCAAAGAATAGACTTAAAGAGACTTTTTCAATCTCATAAAAAACATTTATCTAAAACCAAAAGTAAGCATCATATGCAATGGGGACACACTAGAATTTTTTCCATTAACTATGGAAGTAGGGCAAGGATGCCCACTTTAGCTACTATAATTTTATATAGTTATGGAAATGCCAGCAACAGCAATGAAACAAGAGAAAGAAATTAAAGGCATAAAGACAGGTAAAGAAGAGATAAAAGTATCCCTATTTCCTGATGATATGATGGTATACTTGGAAAACCCTAGAGGATCAGCAAAGATACTGAGACAATAATTTCAGCAAAGTTGCAGGCTGCAAAACAAACCCTCAAAACTTAAAAAAAAAGCATTTCTATATAATAATAACAAAACATAAGAAGCAAAAATAGGAAAATCTCATTCCAAATGACTACAAAATGCATAAAATATCTGAGGATTGACATAACACTTATATAGATTCAGATACAAAGTGCTTATTAAAGAAATAGTGACTTCCAAATGGAGCCTTCCTTAAAATAATAAATAGTATTTATCTAAAACCTTCAGCAAGCATAATATGTAATGGGGACAAGCTAGAAGCATTTCCAATAAGATCAGGGGTGAAACAAGGATGTCCATTATCACCACTGTTATTCAATATCATACTAGAAACATTAGCTTTAGCAATAAGAGAAGAAAAAGAAGTTGAAGGTATTAGAATAGGCAAAGAAGAAACAAAGCTATCACTCTTTGCAGATGACATGATGATATACTTACAGAATCCTGGAGAATCAAGTAAAAAACTACCTGAAATAATAAACAAATTTAGCAAAGTTGCAGGGTATAAAATAAACCCACATAAATCATCGGCATTTCTATATATTACCAACAAAGTCCAACAGCAAGAGATAGAAAGAGAAATTCCATTTAAAGTTACTGTAGACATTATAAAATATTTAGGAGTCTACCTCCTGAAATAAACCCAGGAACTCTATGAACACAATTACAAAACACTTTTCACACAAATAAAGTCAGATCTAAATAATTGGAAAAACATCAGTTGCTCATGGGTAGGTAGAGCTAATATAATAAAAATGACAATTCTACCTAAGCTAATTTACTTATTCAGTGTCATACCAATCAAACTACCAAAAATTACTCTGTAGAATTAGAAAAAATAGTAACAAGATTCATTTGGAAGAACAAAAGGTCCAGAATATCAAGCGAATTAATGAAAAGAAATGCAGGAGAAGGGGGACTAGCCTTTCCAGATCTTAAATTGTATTATAAAACAGCAATCATCAAAACTGCTTGGTACTGGCTAAGAAATAGAGTGGTGGATCAGTGGAATAGGTTAAATATGCAAGACACCATAGTCAATGACTATAGTGGGATAAGAACCCACTCTTTGGAAAAAACTGCTGGGAAAACTGGAAAAGAGTATGGCAGAAACTAGGCATAGACCAAAGTCTCACACAATATACCAAAATAAAGTCAAAATGGGTTCATGATTTAGATATAAAGGCTGATACTATAAGCAAACTGGGAGAGCAAGGAATAGATCTATGGAGAACAGAAGAATTCATGACCAAACAGGAGATAGAGAACATTACAAAAAGCAAAATGAATAATTTTGATTACACTAAATTGAAAAGTTTTTGCACAAACAAAGCCAATGCAACTAAGATTAGAAGGAAGGTAGAAAAATTGGGAAAGAATTTTTACAACCAGTTTCTCTGATAAGGGCCTCATTTCTAAAATATATAGAGAATTAAGTCAAATTTATAAGAATACAAGCCATTCCCCAATTGATAAATGGTCAAAGGATATGAACAGACAGTTGTCAGATGAAGAAATTAAAGCTGTCTATAGTCATATGAAAAAATGCTCTAAATCACTATTGATTAGAGAAATGCAAATCAAAACAACTCTGAGGTACCACATCACAACTATCAGATTGGTCAACATGACAAAACAGGAAAATGATAAATGTTGGAGAAGATGTGGGAAAACTGGAACACTAGTGCATTGTTGGTGGAGTTGTGAAATGATCCAACCATTTTGGAGAGCAATTTGGACTATGCCCAAAGGGCTATCAAAATGTGCATACCCTTTGACCCAGTAATAGCACTTCTAGGGCTATATCACAAAGAGATCATACAAATGGGAAAAGGACCCACATGTACAAAAATATTCATAGCGGCTCTTTTTGTGGTGGCAAAGAATTGGAAATTGAGAGGATGCCCATCAATTGGGGAATGACTGAGCAAGTTGTGGTATATGAATGAAATGGAATACTATTGTGCTATAAGAAATGATGAACAGGTTGACTTTAGGAAAACCTGGAAAGACTTGTATGGACTGATGCTGAGTGAAGCGAGCAAAACCAAGAGAACTTTGTACACAATACCAGCCACGTTGTGCAAGGACTAATATTGATTATGTCCAAAAAAATTTATACAACTTAGTTAAAAAAATACTTTATTGCTAAAAAATGCTAACTTGCAGCCTTCAGCAAGTGGCAATCTTTTTGTGGAGGGTGTTGCGTCTTTGTTGATGGCTGCTAACTGATCAGGTGGTTGCTGAAGGTTGGGGTGCCTGTGGTAATTTCTTAAAATAAGACAAACAAATGAAAATAAAGACAAAAAGGAAGTTTGCCAAGTTTTGACTCTTCCTTTCACTGGAATACTAAGAGGCCATTGTAGGGTTATTAAGTGGCCTAATTTCAATATTGTTGTACCTCAGGGAACAGGGAGGCCTAAGAGAGGCAGAGAGACAGGGAACAGCTGATGGATGGAGCAGTCAAAACACACACAGTATTTACTGATTAAATTTGCTGTCTTTTTCTTTTTTTTTAGGCAATTGGGGTTAAGTGACTTGCCCAGGGTCACACAGCTAGTAAGTGTCAAGTATTTGGTCTGAGGCCAGATTTGAACTCAGGTCCTCCTGACCTCAGGGCCGGTGCTCTATCCACTACTCCACTTAAATTTGCTGTCTTATATGGTCATGGTTTGTGGTGCCCCAAAACAATTACAATAGTAACATCAAAGGTCACTGTTCACAGATCACCATAATAGATATAATAATAATGAAAACATTTGAAATGTGAGAATTACCAAAATGTGACACAGAGATACAATGTGACCACATGCTATTAGAAAAATGGTGCTGAAAGACTTGCTTGATGTAGGGTCACCACAAACCTTCAATTTGTAAAAAAGTAATCTGTGAAATGCAATAAAGTAAAGTACAATAAAACAAGTTATGCCTGTATACACATACACACATACACATATATGTATGTGTATATATGTATTTATACGAACACACACACACATATAACACTAACAAATATTCCCTAATAGATAAGTGGTCAAAGGAGATGAACACACCATTTTCAAAAGAATTGCAAACTATTCACAACCACATGAAGGAATGCTCTAAATTACCATTAATAAGGGAACTGCAAATCAAAACAACCTTGAGGTTTCACCTTACATCCTACAAATTGGCAAAAATGATGAAAATTGCAATAGCTAATATTGGAGTGGTTGTGGAATATTAAGCATACTAATACATTGTTGGCAGAGATGATAGAACCATTTTGGCAAGCCATTTGGAATTATGCAAATAAAATGAGAAGTCCATACCATTGAACCAGACATTCCATTACTAGATTTATACTCCAAGAAAGTTATCAATAAAATGCCCATATACATCCCCATATTTATAGCAGCACTTTTTGCAATAGCTGAGAACTAGAAATCTAGTAAATGTCCAATGTTTGGGGAATGGTTAAGCAAATTATGGTACTTTATTTTAATGGAATATTACTGTGCTGTAAGAAATGATATATGTGATGAATACAGAGAAGCATGGAGCTCTATCTGGATCAATGCAGCATGAAGTAAACAGAGCCAAGAGAACAAAGTACACAATAACTACAGCAACATAAATGCAAAGAACAATCACACACACACAAAAATATCAAGTTGAATGTTTCAAAATTATAAAAATCAAATATGATACAAATGAAGAGATATGAGAAGACATTCCCAACCCACCCCTTCATGGATGTTGGAAGTCCACAGGTGCTACATATTGCATATGTTTTTGGACTTTTCCAATGTATTGACCAGTAGTGCTGATTTTTTTTCCTTCCTTAAAAAAATACTATTTATTATATAGGATAGTCCCTGGGAAGTAGAGGGGAAGGAATACCGGGAATAACTATGATAACTAAAAAACAGAAGACATGAATAAAAACTTATTTTTTTTTAAAAAAGTGAATGTTGCAAAAAAAAAAAAAAAAAGCATGGCCCCAAAGAAGAAAAATGGGAAGATATCTCCACCCTATTCCTTTGCCTAGGTGGGAGGTCCACAGATGTGGAACAATACATATTTTCCTTTTTTTTTTTTTTTTGGTGAGGCAATCGGGGTTAAGTGACTTGCCCAGGGTCACAAAGCTAATAAGTTTCAAGTGTCTGAGGCCAGATTTGAATTCAGGTCCTCCTGACTCCAAGGATCTATCTACCATGCCACTTAGCTGCCCCTCATTACATATTTCTTAGATTTATATATGTATTGATTGATTTAGCTGATTTTTTTCTCTTCCTCTTTTTAAAAAAAAATTATTTGCTACAAACTGCTCTCTGGAAGGGGTATGGGAAAGGATACTGGAAGAATTCTGGTAATATTAAAAAATACTTATAAAAATATATTTTAAGAAAAGAAATAATATTTATACTTATCTGCCTTGGTAAACCCATCAACAAATTGATTCATTAAAAGCTGCCTTTTTCCAAGTCAAACACTTGTTTTATTGTGTAGAAATCATGATATGGTAGAAACAGTGCTAGCTCTGGTGTCAGAGGATCTGGATACAACCTCTTGATGCTTACTACCTATACAAAGCAAGTCACTTAATTTCCCTAAGCCTCAGTTTCTTTATTTATAAAATGAGGCAGTTGGACAAGAAGAGGCCCTTTCCAGCTATAAAGGGACATCCATGACTCAGTTTCTGGATCTGTTGCTTGGTAGGCCCAGACTGAATTGGTTCCCTACAGAACATACTGTTCTGAATTCTTACACAATTCTCAAAGGGAGCTTTCTATAGTATTCAGAGAGTGGGAAATGTAGTGGGACACTTTTGTGTTTGGTCAATGAAGTATTCCTCAGGGTAGAAATTCTGTCTGTGCCAGAACAGAACTCTTGTGGTTGGAAAGAAAACTTTTCTGGTGACCAAAAAGAGCTAGTCTGAGGCTAGAAAACATATTTCTGGCATTGGCACCAAAACCAGTTCCTTTCTTCCTGAATAATCTGTAGCAATTACCTTCTATTAGGAGATGCTGCAGTCAAGTGGAATTTTGCATTTCCCAACTATTTTATCTATGTTATCTCGGTAAAGAATCTCTATGCCTTATACTTGGGGCTTTTTTCTTTTTCTTTTTTTTTTGGACCAAATCTGAGATGACTTAACTTGAAGATACAGACATGCTTATTAAATGTGTACACAGCACAAAGTTGGGAGGATCAGCTAACAAGTTGGAAGACAGAATCAAGATTCAAAATATCTAACAGTCTGGAACTAATACTGCCAAGATTTTATTAATGTTATCTTGGTAAAAATCCCTATGCCTTACACTTGGGGCTTTTTTCTTTTTTTTTGGACCAAACTGAGATTTCATGGTATAGAGAATTCCTAATGAATACCACTGCAGATCATCTTGGAGAGCTGCTTGGAGGCACTAAGAAGTTAAGTGACTTGTCCAAATTCAACTAACCATTCTGTATCAGAGGAAGGGTTTGAATCCAGGTCCTTCTGACTCTAAGACCAGATCTCTATTGATTGGGCCATGTGGGTTTTTCCATGGGATAATTATGCAGAATGCAGTCTTCTGGGGAAATATTATGAACCAGCAAGAACAAAGCCACAGCTGCACTTGTAGTAGGGTACCTTGAAAGGTGTTATCTGTAGGTCCTTTCTTGATTCTGAGTCATACCTTGACATTTGACTAGAGGGAGAATAGGGTGGAAAATGCAGTGTTTCCTATAAAAGAGATAGAAAGAGTAGGAATTAGAATCTGAAGCAAGAAATTAGCACACAGAGGAGTTAACTCATTGTGGAGATTAATACACAAGCTCTAGTAATGCTAGTCTTTCACTTTATAAATCCAGTGTTTTATTTTCTAGGGACCAATCCAATGTGCAAACAACATCTCTACTTGTTGGCATCTTTGCTAATCCTCCACACTCATACTCAAGCAAGGAAAATAAGCAAATACCTAGTTCCTTTAAATGAATTCAAGTATTCAGATCCAGATGAATTACCTTCCAAGGTTCTAAAAGAACTTACAGATTTAAACTGCATAACCAGAGTTGATAATCTTTGAGGAATCATGAAGAATGGGAAAGACATTATACAAAATCTGGGCAAATATCTGAATATCCAAAAAAAAACAACAAACCAACAACAACAGAAAAAGGTAGGTCCCAGAAATTACAGCCTAGTAACCTTATCCTGGAAAATTCTTAAACTACTTATTAAACAAATGTCTTTTGAACTCTTAAAAAAAAGTACATGATGATCAAAGGAGCCAGCATGGTTTCACTAAGAACATGTCCCATGATCCAATATCTATGATATGATCCTATGATATCCTATACTAACTTTATCTCCTTTTTTTTGATAGGTTATCAGACAAGTAAATCAAAGAAATCCATAAACATAGTACATTATGTTTTCAATAAGACATCTGATAGCTTCATGATAACCTTATGGACAAAATGGAAGAATATGGGCTATTTGACAATACAGGTAAGTGGTCAAACAACCAGATTCAAATAATATTGATTGATTGATTAATATTAGACTGGAGGGAAATCTTAGTGGCATGCTACAAGCTTCTGTCTTGACCCTATTCCATTCAATGACTTAACTTGAAGATACAGACATGCTTATTAAATGCGTATATGGCACAAAGTTGGGAGGATTGGTTAACAAGTTAGAAAACAGAATCAAGATTCAAAATACCTAATAGTCTGGAACTTACTACCAAGATGAAATTTTATAGGGATAACTGCAAAATCTTCCATTTTGATTTTAAAAGGAAATTATACAAGTACAGGATTTTTTGGTTTGTTTTGTTGTTGTTGAATTGTTTCAGTCATGTCCAATTCTGTGATCCCATTTTGGGGTGGGAGGGATAGCTAACATAAAAACAACTCATGTGAAAAAATCTGGTGTTTTTCATAGAATCACAAACTGTTAGAATGAGAAGGGACTTCATAAATCATCTAGTCCCATCAATTCATTCAATTGACTAGTTTTTATTAAGGCCTACTATGTACCAGGCACTGTGTAAAAACACACACACATCTCCCTCTTTGGAGAATATTAATTCATGCAGATGCTTTATTTAGAAACATGGAACTATTTTGAGATCCATTCCCTCAATATCAATTAATAAATGAGAATTCTGATTTGTAAATCAGTTTCTCATGCATTTGTTTAGTTTGAGTCAGGTTTTCAGGTTTTGATGAAAAGATAGATTTTTGAACTAGCAGACTCTAAACAAAGGTAAATAATGGAGCTATGGTTTTAAACCAGTGTTGACAGATGTCATGATATCTGTGCTTCACTTATATTTAATCCCATTGTTATCTCTTCATTGTCTCTCTTCTTCTCTTTTGTTGACCTTTCAGTTTGTTTGGTAATTGGACTACCCAAGAGAAAGGGTTCCAGGGAGTAAGCTGGCCTTTTCTAGGAATGATGGTGGGAACCATCAGTCATTTTCTTGACTGCTATCTCACAGGACATCACACAGGACACCATAATTGCCAGAAATTCTATCCCTCTGAGTTCCAGCCTCACCTTTCTTCCTAGAATCATTGTCTGATATCATAAGAAGTTGCCCAGACTCCTGGTTAATATTAATTTGGCTCCAAATTTATTCTCCGCCCCCCCAAGGATACACAAGACCAACTAACCTTTATTACTGGTTCATCCTCGGGAGTCTCTAAGTATTTCTTCCCAAGAGCAAACAGAACAGCATCATGAACGGTAAGGAACAACTGGGCCTTGGTAATGCCAGCATCAAAGAAGTCACTGTTCTCAAAAGTCTCAACAATCAGTGCTGAAAATCAAACCAGGGCAGACTCAGTCATCTGAACAGGAAGAAGACCCAGAGATATAAAACTTAGCTCAGGAGCATGATACTCACGATGACATCCTGCGAGGAGAACTAATACATCAATGTTGTAAAATGCATTGCAGATCTGTGGAGAGAAGTATTAAATCACAATTAGTGAACTGAATATATAGAAGAAAAATGGTGGTAACAGAGTTCCTAAGAATTCTTTTAATGAAGAAGTTGGCTTATTTGTATGAATCTCTGCTTTCTAAGTGACACACTTAAGAATCTTCATGAAAATTTTTAGAACACACACACATACACATACACACATGCATATATCAAACAACACCTTGTCAACATCACATGACATTTGCCTATCTCCTTTCCAGGGCGTAGGGCATTTTTTCTTGCCCTAGTACAGAGACGTAAACTGAGGGACAGAGTTGACTAATACACAAGAGGAGCACATAGGGATGTGATAGGAAGTTTGGAATACTGATGCTCAGATTCAGAATCTCCTTGTAAAGTTCGATTGTACTTCCATACTTTACTCAACACATATTCTGGGCCAATAAATCTTGAGTTTCACTATAATGTTAGTTGAAAAAATATTCTTTTTAACTTCATTCAAGACTAAGAGGAAGTGAATCACGTAATATTGGTGGGGACCTCAGAGGCCATACAGTATAATCCATACCTGAAAAAGAATTCCTAAACCACATACCTGACAAGTGGTTATCTAGTTTTTACCTGAAGAGGACAGAAAGGGGTAAACTACTATCTCCCGAAGAAGCTAATTCCACCTTTAGGTGGATCCAATTCCTAGCTAGTTTTTCTTTACATCATGACTAAATTTCCACATTTGAAATTCTACCCACTTCTACTTCTGCCCTCTAGAGCTAGATAGAGCAAGCCTTGCTCCTTTTTCACAAGACTGTCTCTCAAATACACAAAGACAGTGATCACATTCTCTCTAGGTTTTCCCTTTCCCAGGACAAGCATCCCTGCTCCTTCAGCTGATTCTCATGGGCCATGAACTGAAGGCCCCTCACCATTCTGGGTGTCCTCCCCTGGATACTTTCTAGCTTTTTACTGTCTGTCCTAAACTATGGGATTCAGAACTGAAAACACAGTAATATAGATATAGTTTGGCCAGGTCAGAGCACAGTGGGACTGTCACCTTCTTATTCCTGAAAACTCTATCTCTCATTGTAGTCCAATATTTCAGTAGCATGTTTTGGCAGCCCTGTCACACTACTGACTCATGTTGAGTTTGAAATCTATAAAAACCTCTAGATATTTTCAAATTGCTAACTCTGCCTGCCCCACATTGTACTTATGCAGTCATTTGTTTGAAGCCAAGTGAAAGACTTACTTTACATTTACTTAATTTCATCTTATTCAATTCTGCTTAATATTCTAGTTCATAAAGATCCCTTGAATCCTGACTCCAGTGTTAGCTATCTCTTCTTGCTACTTGTCTTCTACAAATAAAAGGATGCTATTTATGCCTTTACCAGAGTCCTTGACAAAAGTGCTAAACAGCAGTAAGTAAAGCACTGATTCCAGGGGCACTCCACTATAGACCTTCTTCTAAGTAGATAAGGAATTACAGTGAATCAACCAGTTCTAAAGTCATCTAATTTTACTACTGTCTAATCTATATCTTTTCATCTTTCACAGAATAGTAAGAGATACTTTAACATTTTGAAAAAAAAATCTAAGTAAACTCTACCAATTTCCTCTGCTCTACTAGTTTAGTAAGCCTGTTTAAAAAAAAAAGTTATGCTGTCATAACCATGCTTATCTTCATATTCTTCTACTACACATTTTTTTTTTTACAAGATGTTCACTAAGCCTCTTAATAATATGTTCCAGGATTTCCCCAGGAATCAAAGTTAAGTTCACTAGCCTATACTTTGGATATTACCAAGTATTTGTTAAAAAAAAAAAAGAACATCATAAAAATAATTACAGCTTATGTACCAACATCTGTTGCAGAGGATGAGAAAGTAGATACAATTTACGAGGAACTCACTGAAATCCTTTGTATTCAATATTAAATTCTGAAAAAGAATACAAGGTTTTTTTTTTAAACAAATATCATAAGACAAAAGAAAGTAAATCAAATGTTGGACAAAATATAACCCTGTGAACTCCCAAGAGATCATGGAATAACATCAAGAAAATCCAAGAAATTCAAAGAAGGAATTAAATTCATATAAGAAAAATTAGAAAAATGTTAAAAAGAATGCCTTTTCCAGAGTCCTTGATAAAAATGTTAAACAGCAATAAGTAAAGCACAGATACCTGGGGATTCTAAAAATTCTAAAAAATTAGAAAATTCACATAAGAAAAATTAGAAAAAATAACAAAATTTAGACCTCTCAATATAGAATTTTATAACTCACACTAGAAGAAATTGAATTCATGATGAAGAATTTCTCTAAAGAAGTGAAAGAAAGATGAACATATTTGGAACAATCTATTCCAAAAAAGAACAGAAAAAGTTCTGAAGTAGAGTAAAATATAGCTGAAGACAAAAAAAAGTTAACAACGTTAAAAAAAACAACACATGAATTCTGTACAAACCAATGGAACTGACCCCGAAGACAGGATTGCAGAGATAACTTAGGGATAATAGCTGTCTCAGAAGAACATGACAAATTAAAAAAAAAACAAAAACAAAAACAAAACTTAACACAGTAGTGTAGGGACTAATACAAGAAAACCACCAATAACTAACTTCAACAACAACAAAGCATTGGAAGATTTACAAATTGTCCCCAGAAAACACAAACCCATGTTTTAAGCTACCAAATGACAGAATTACTGAAAGTTATGCTGCCTCAGTGACCAAATGGCTCCAGTCCTGCTTGTCAGTCAGTGTTGAGGGAAGCTTCACCCAATGTGCAGTTTTTGTGTTATGGTTATCCCTTTCACTTCATGGGGGTTAGGGGTACAGCACCCCCACAATCTGGAAAATCCATGTAAATTTTTTTGGCTCTCCCTTTGTCCCAGAGAAGAAGTTTGAGTTTTTTCTTTCTGTTTTATGGGGTGTTTACAGTATTTTATTGTAAAATTTGGGTTAAATATTTGGTCATAGGCTCTGTGCCATCTACTTACCTTCATGTGTCATCTGTGGCTTCCACAAAACTCCCAAAAAATTCCCTTTAGATTTCTTATGCCAACCCACGATATATTGAAACTGCAATGGGGAAATTCATCATATGGAAGGGATAACTGTACCTGCTATCCACCATGTTACCTGTTAACAGGCAGTTGGGGAGGAGCTGATGTGCAACGGTCCATCCCCTTTTGCTGATGTGGACCATTCTGAACTGTTCTTATCTCATTACAAAAGTTACCAATAAAACCTGGCTCCACTTTGAATCCCGTGATGATCTCTAGTGATCAGCCTCTCTACGTGTTACTACTTTGAAGTATTATTTTTTTAATAAACTTTTTTAATTCTCTTTTTCCAGAGTTTTGTCTCATTAATCAGGATGAAAGTCTGAACAAAGATTTGCCTTTTAACAAGGGCACATGAATTGTTGTTGTTTAGTCATTTTTCAGTCATGGCCAACTCTTTGTGATATTTTTTGGGGTTTTCTTGACAGAGAAATTTTGGTTGGCTAGAGCAGTCTCACTGCTAGGAACATGGCAAGCAACTGGTGAAGGGAGAATGGGTCAGCAAGCAGCAGCTACAGGCCACACCCCTGGAGGCCTTCAGGGAATCCCTGAGCCCTAGGGCAAGCCACCAGCTAGGCCACATCCCTAGTATAAACCAGAAGCAAGACCAGAGCCCCCGGGCAAACCAGCAGTACCTGCAAACCAGCTGCACATCAAGGCCCTGCCCTCTGAGCAGGCCAGCAGTGAGATTCTTCCCTTGGGGCAGGTCAACTGGAAGTCATTGCCTCCCCCCTCAGCAAACCAGCAGCAAGACCCTACCCCTGGGGCAAGCCAATGGTGAGGCACTGCCCCCAGTCAAGCCAGCAGAGTGGCCCCCCATAGTCCAGTATAAACCAGCAGCTAGGTCCCAAGGCCCAGTGCAAACCAACAGGAAGGCCCCAAACCCTAGCACAAGAAGCTTGGGACAGTGCCCTCTCCACTCTAGGAGCAGAGCCCCACTTTTATGTAAAAAAAAATCCAAAGTCTCAAAATAGGCGAAAAAAATTGAGCAAAAAACAAACAAATGAAAAAAAAAAGCCAGACCATAGAAAGCTACTATGGTTATGTAGAGGATCAAGGGACAAACTTAGAAAAGGACAATAATGTCAAAATGGTTACATATGAAGCCTCAAAGAAAAACATAAATTGATCTCAGGTCCAAAAAAGAGCTCATGAAAAAGTTCAAAAAAGATTTTAAAAAGCAAATAGAAGCAGAAGAAAAATTGGGAAAAGAAATGAAAGTGATGTAAGAGAATCATGAAAAAAGAGTCAACAGCTTGGTAAAAGATGCACAAAAAATGGAAAAAGATATAAAAAATTTTCACTGAAGAAAACAACTCCTTAAAAAGTAGAAGTGACTGATTAGAAAAGGAGATACAAAAGCTCACTGAATAAAATAATTCCTTAAAAATTAGAATTGGGCAAGTGGAAGTTGCCTACATGACTACATGAGACATCAAGAAACAATGAAACAAAATCAAAAGAATGAAAAAATAGAAGAAAATGTGAAATTTCTCATTGGAAAAATAACTGACCTAGAACATAGATCCAGGAGAGATAATTTAAGAATTACTAGACTACCTAAAAGCCTGGATATCATATTGCAAGAAATATCCAGGAAAACTGTTCTGATATCCTAGAACTTGAGGGCAAAATAGAAATTGAAAGAGTCTAATGATTACCACCTGAAAGAGATCCCAAAATGAAAACTCCCAGGAATATCATAGCCAAATGCCAGAGCACCAAGGCCAAGCAGCCAGAAAGAAACAATTCAAATATTGTAGAGTCACAGGCAGGATTATACAGGATTTAGCATCTTCTACATTAAAGAATCAGAGGGGTTGAAATATTATACTTCACAAGGCAAAGGAGCTAGGATTACAACCAAAAATCACCTACCCAGTAAAGTTGAGTATTAACCTTCAGGGGGAAGAATTGACATATAATGAAATAGAGGACTTTAAAGCATTC